AGCAAACTTCTGCTTAACTGTGCGGTGCCCGAGGAGGGGGGACCCCCGCCCGCCGCGCCCCGCCGGGAGCACCGGCATGGCTTTAGCCCCGGGGGATGCTCCTGGAGCGCTGGGTCAGGCCCTGGGCCCTGGGAGGGGGGCAGATTCCCCAAAATTGGGGGGGAGGGGGGCAGGGGATCCTGGCACCGTTCTCCATCGGAAAAAAGGAAAGGGAATGAGAGGGTGGAAGGGGCTTGGTGAGAGCCCCCTCCTCACACCACGATAGGGGGTACGGCCCCTCCACAGCACCCCTCTGCTTCCAGCAGCTGCCGAGATGAGGGGCTGCTGCTTTTCGCCCCCAGCCCCAGGATACGACCGGCAGGGGCTGTCCCCAGTGTCGCCGTGTGCCACAAGCCGTGGCTCTCGAGCTACGGCCACTCTGCCGGGAAACCCAGGGGTGCAGGGAGCTGCCAGCTGTGCCCACCGCAGCCCCCGGGAGAGCAGCAGGGAGCGAACCCTCCCCGGGAGCCACGGGAACCTCCTGAGCCTCCGCAGCAGCTCCAGCTCCACCAGCGGCCGTGGCCAGAGCTGGCGGCCCAAGGCGGTGGGCGAGCCCCTGTGCCGAGCCCCCGGGCAGCAGAGCCCCACGGAGAGGAGGCAGGAGCGAGGTGCCGGGGCTGCCTTGCGGCTCCTCGGGGCAGCCTCACGCCCTGGCCGGGCCCGTCCTCCCCCGAGCGGGGCTGGCATCGCTGCGTGTCGGGGCGCGGGTGGGAGCAGGTCCTCGGGCCAGCAGCATCGAGCACATGATCTGTTGTGGCAGGTTCCCTGCAGCCTGGAGCCAGCCCCGAGCGAGCGCTGGTGATGGCTTTAATTGCTTTCAGATTCGATAGCCCAGCCCGTGACAGCCCGGCCCCAGCTGTGCCGGGCCGGACCCTGCGCGGCCCCGGGCACGCTGCCCTCGGGTGGAGCCCGAGAGGAGGAGGAGGAGGAGAGGAGCCGTCCTGGCTTGGGGTCTTCCTCTTCATCCCGGCAAAGTCTTCTCCTTCCTTCCTCATGTGTGTCTGGGTGACCGCCTGAGCCTCGTCCCTGGGGAAACCCAGCCGAGGGACAGCGTGGCACCCTAGGATGGCACGGCAGCCCTGCTGTGAAGCCACCCGGCCATGTGCCACCGTGACCCCCAGGTGAGCACCCCGGGCAGCTCCACCCCCGCCCTCTGCAGCTCTGCCGTACCCCCATTCGGAAGGGGGGGGTGTTGGAGGGCTGTGCTCACCCTCAGAGCTGGGGACGTGGGAGGTGGAGGGTCCGTGATGCCACTGAGGCACAGGCTGATCCTCTCTGGTGGCTGCTTGTGCCCTCCCAACCCGCACGGCCGTGTCGGGGACAAGGGGCTGCTCTCTAGGTGTCCTGGGCCTGACCCAGACCCTCATCGCACTGGGTGGTGGCCGGGGGGAACCGGGGGTCTCAAGGTGGGAGGATAAAGGGCCTCTCATCCCCTACAGCGGCACCCGTGGGCTGGCCCTGACCCACTGGTGCCTGTGCCTGTTTCCTCCTCTTCCCCGCTGCTGCCGAGGTCCGAGGTACCTCCCCCCGCTCCAGCCCAGCCCAGGTGGGTGCAGGCAGCTGCAGGATCCGTAATCCCTGCGTGGCACCGGAGTGTGCTCCGGGGGAGCGGGATGAGCACCCTGGCACAGCCCGAGCTCAGCCGTGCTCGGCCCTTCAGCACGGCCGGGGGTCCCAGCCCGAGGCTCGCACGGTGCCGGTGCTGACCGTGCCCTGTGAGCGTGTCCTGAGTGCGGCCAGCCGGGAGCTCTGGCTCCCTCCGGGGGTGCCGGGCTGGCTTCGGGGCTGCCGGCAAGGACCTCCCATCCCTGTGCCAGCGGCTGCTGCCGGGGAGGGTGAAGGCTCCTCCGTGGCTCGCCAGCTCCTGGCAGAGGAGGAGGCAGCGGAGGATGTGGAGGGGGCCGCTCGCATCCCGATCCATTATTGCGGGCAGCGCCGGCGGGCGCCCGGGGCAGGGGCTGCATTATTGACGAAGGGGAAAGCAGGCCGGGGCGCAGGCAGGGACCCTCCTGCAGGGCTCAGCCCCGGGCAAAGCACTTCGCCTGCGCCGCAGAGCCGCAGAGCTGCCAGGCCTGGCCCGGGGCAGCGGCCGCAGCCGCCGCAGCCGCCCACCGCAGCCCGGTCTTGCGGCCGCAGAGCATCCCCGGTGCCCCGGCCCGTGCCGAGCCCGGGGCACCCACCGGCAGCCCCGGGGAGGATGATGGAGGTGGGCGACAACCCCCTTGCATGCTCACGCTGGCACCGGCGCTGCAGCTCTGCCCCCCTCAACCCAGCGCAGCTCTGGTGCTGCTCTTTTTTAAGCTTCCCTCTGTCTCCAGGCGGAGATTTGTGGCGTAAAATGCACAATATGTTCTATCTGCCCTGTGGGAGCCATAAAATATTCACCAGCAGCTCCCATTATAGTCAGAGTGAATCACAGAGAGCGCTCGAGCCCTCGCTCCCTGACATTCCCCTCCCCGAGCAGCCGGAGCCCGGCCGGATCCCACAGCAAAGAGCCACATCCCCACCTCTGCCCCCTGGGAGAGAATTCCCCGGGCTCGGCAGCTCAAGGGGTGGTGACCGTGCTGATGAGACGGCGACTGACTCACAGAATATCCCAGACTGGTTTGGGATGGAAGGGACATTAAAGTCCATCCCGTTCCACCCCCTGCCATGGGCAGGGACACCTCCCACTGTCCCAGGCTGCTCCAAGCCCCGTCCAGCCTGGCCTTGGACACTTCCAGGGATGCAGGGGCAGCCACAGCTTCTCTGGGCACCCTGTGCCAGGGCCTGCCCACCCTTCACTGTCAGATGCCCAGGGAGGAGCAGCACCAGCCCTGCGGGTGGAGGGGACCAGCAGCGGCAGCAGCAGCAGCAGGGTGGGCTCACATGGCCCTGGCAGCCGGCCCTGCTCACGCTGTCCCACCAGATGAGCTGGGCACCCCTGGGGTGACCTGTGCTGTCATTTTTGCAGCCACAGCCCCTTGAGTGAGGTGTCAGAGCCGTGCCAGGGCACTGGGACAGCCCCTGCCTGCTCCCTGCCTCAGCTGTCACACCTGTACCTCTGCTCATCACAGGGCTCGCTACCACAGCGTTCCTCCATCTCCCCTCCACAGTGTCCTGCTGTCCATGCTTCCATCTTTCCATCCTTCCATCCTTCCTTTCCTTGAGCCACTGCTCCCTCTGCCCATCCCCATCTCCCCCTCCAGACCTCAGGCTTAAGACTGACAGAGCCAAGGGATGACAAATTTCCTGATGAAGCAGCACCCTCCTCCAGAGCTGATGTGTCAAAGACAATTTTATCTTTTGCCACACAATTATTTGTAATTATAAAGCAGTTAATGCTGCCTCAGCCCTTGGGAATTGGGCACAATTAGGGTTTGATTTCACCTCCACCCCTTCCATGGCTACACCGCAGCTCTGAGCCTCGGTCCGTGGTGTTGGGGGTGTTCCGAGTGTTCCCAAAGTGTCCAGGCAGAATCATTGCTCACCACACACGTGTCTTCTCCTGGGAGATGCTGTTCCCTCCAGCAGCAGCCCAGCCGAGCGTCCCCAGCTGCACCGGGCACGGCCGTGCCGAGCCCCTGGCATGGCAGGATTTGCTCCCAGCGCCTTGGCAGGCCAGCCGGGACATGGAGCCGTGGGAAGGCAGGACACGATCATCCTCCTGGGCTTGCTCATCGCGACAAGAGCCACCACCAGGTCACCGCCACGTCCCGGCGCGTCCTTGGCACTGAGCAGCGCCGAGCGGGGCGGGGGTCCCGTGGTGGCCCCAAACCCCCCCGGGATCGCCAGGAGGAGGCAGCGAGGGGCTGCACGGCCTCGAGGGTTAAACCCGGCTCCGCTCCCTGAACAGACCGAGGGAGAGGAGGGAGCGTGGCAGCGCCCTCCTCGCCAAAATTAACTCTCCATCTGTTTCTCCCTGGCTGAGGCTGATGGCTTGTGACAGGGCCTCCTGAATGCAAAGATGTTTCGCCCGGAAAAATCTATTACAAGTTGCTGTAAGAAAGACCGAAATCCTCTCCTTCTGTCTCTCCCTACTGGTCTCAAGGTGGCCACCCCGGGCGAGAGCGGGCTGGCAGCCGGCCGCCTCCGCTCAGCCGGAAAGTTCTCCCCGCGCCAGGCGGCCCCGCCGCCGGCCAAAGGCACGGAGCAGAGCAGGGGCGCTGCCCCGGGTGCTGCGAGGAGGGAGAGCTGCTCCTGCATCCCCAGCCTGGCCACGGTGCCGGGGTGCGGCGGGCACCGCGCTGCCCGGCATGGAACGGCTGGGGAAACTGAGGCAGGAGCGGGAGAGCATCCAGGCGGATGGTGGGTGCCCTCTCCCGGCCACGGCACAGCCCTGCTCGGCCCTGAGAGAGAACATCGCTCATTTTATGGGAATTCCTGGATTTTGCTTTTGTTTTGCTTTATTTCCGCCCCTTTCTGCGCTCCCGCGCCCCGAAGTGCATCGAATTAAACAACAACTCCCAACTCCCCTTGTTTCAGTGCTCAGCTCTCCACCCAGCACCGTCACTGCTCCACAGAAATGCCTTCAAGACCCATTGCTTTGACCCCCAAACCAGCCCACTCATCCTTTTTGTCTCTCACACAGCAAAACCAGGCGGCTTCAGTAAAAAACAAAACTTTATTTGGTCCGTCAGAACCTGAGTTTGAAAACCACCCATGGATAATTCATATCATACAGGGATTACTGATCTGATTTACAATTGATAAAATATCCTATGATTCTGAAGAGCTGGACAGTATTTACAGGGTTAAAAATATTCACAGCTCAGAAAGACAAAAAGAGAGAGGAGAAAAAAAAGTGAAGGACAAATCATCCCAAGGAGGAAGGAGCTGGAAAGAGAGAAAACAGATCAACAAACAGAAATACGGACAGAGCTTGGCTCAGCAGCCCCGGCTGTGGGGGGCTGGGAGGATGCCAGGGCAGCCCCACCCCCACCACCCCCCCACCACCCCCTGATCCCCGGGGGACACAGAGAGACAGGTCAGGCAGAGACCCCCACACCCCTGCCCAGCCCAACTCTGCTGGTGCAGGGTTTGGGGTGCAGGACCCCCCAGCACGGTCCCTGCCAGAACAGGGTCCAGCATTGCCCATCACCCCCCCTCAGCTGTAAATCCACACAGCTCAGGCAGGAGATGGTACAGAGGGGAACCCCAAAACACACACACACACACACACACACACACACACACACACACACACACACACACACACACACACCATGTCAGAGAGCCACAATGCCCTGAAAACGTGGGGTGCAGCTCCCTCCAGGATCAGCCCCCACCTCGGAGCACCCACAGGGCCAGTGGCACCCCGAGGTGCAGCCCTCGCCTTGTGCTCACTGCCTCCCACAGCCTCTGGAGGAGTGGGCTCTCCTCATCTCCCCCAAAACCACCCCCTCCCCAGCTCATGGACTCGTGGTAGCTCCAGGGAACTGCTCCCTGACCCCGGGTCTGTACCTGCTGCCCACCCTCCCTGCATGGGGCATGGGGGGCCCACAGGGCAGTGCCGGGTGGCTGAGCCCAGCTGGGGCCATGGCTTCTCTCCAGGCACTGCTCCCCCCGGCCGCCTTTGCATAGTAACACTTGTGTGACAGGGACAGGGGCCCTGGTGCCTCAGCCCCTGCCAGCAGCACCCCGAGGCCTCGCTCCCCACCCGGAGCCAAGGAGGAGGTGGTGAAACCTCCGAGTTTCACCCCAATTACAGCAAAACCCCCTCAGCAGCAGCTTTCTGCAACAACCCTGTGCCCTCTCCCCGCCAGGCCCAGCACCCAGGATGGGTGGAGTGTCCCTGGCTTGGGTGGCACCATGGCAGCGTGACCCTGGCACTCCCCAGCCCAACCTCAGCACCACGCTGGTCCTGGCAGCAGACAAGGGGGGCAACAAGACAGCAGGAAGGGCCCGGGGACAGACGGAGGGTCACACAGACGGACAGACATCAGAGGTATATTCTTCTTGCAGCGCCAGTGCCCTGGCACCACGGGAAGGGGCAGAGTCCTGAGCGTGGTGCCTGGGAAGGGACTTGACAGCAACCTCCACCCCCTCCCTCCCCCAGAGTCCCCGGGGCGGGCAGAGGGCACCGGGCCCAGCGCAGGTACAGGGCAGGTGGGATCCTGAGACGGCCCCGTGCCCCCAACCGCTCCTCGTAAAGTGCGTGGGGGGCAGCAGTGCCAGGGCAGGGGCAGCGGGCAGGGCTGGTGCTGGCCCTGAGAACTCACCCCGGCCCTGCAGCGTGGGGCAAAGTGCTGGGGGTGCCACCCCAGCTCTGCCCCACAGCTCAGCGCTGCCGGCTCGGGGGGGCACCCTGAGCCAGAGGTTCGGTGACAGGAACGGGGCAGCGGGGCAGGGAGAGGGAGGCTCTTTGTCATAGGGGCCGGGGGCCGTGCAGCCCGGCCACCTCGGGCGTGAGCAGCGGGTTGTGGGTGCCCTTCGTCAGCATCCAGTCATTGAGGAAGGCCTGAGTGGCTTTGCGGTGCGCCAGGCGGTGCGTGATGGAGAAACCGGCGTTACCCTCCAGCTGGGACAGGATCACCAACACCTGCCTGTGGAGAGAGCCACGGGCTCAGGGCACAGCCTCCACCCCGGCAATTCCACCTCCACCTCAGCAACCCCACCTCTGCCCCAGCAATCCCACCTCAGCAACCCCACCTCCACCTCAGCAACCCCACCCGTCTCAACAATCCGTCCCTGCCAGCCCTGGCTCTGCCTTGCTCCCAGCCCCACGGCAGCCCCCGTGACCCACCCCTGCCTACCCCGGACCTGTGCAGGGGGGGGACACTGTCCTGCGTCTTGAGGCTGCCGCGTGTGGACACCACGTTGAAGCTGTCGGTGCAGTCGCACTGAACGTGCAGGTAGGACTTGGGGTGCCGGTTCTCCACCACCACGATGAGCCCTGCCCAGCCGTGGGTCAGGTAGTAGCAGGTCATCCCCTCACGGCCCTGGGGCACACAGCAGGGAGGGCGATGAAGCCTCGGGGCACCCCTGTCCCAGAATCAAAACCCCTGCACCGGCATCTTCCACTCTAGCCAAGGGCTGCCCACCTGCTGGGGTGCCACACAGCAGTCCAGGGAGCAAAGGGGGTGGGCATCCAGGAGTGGCAACCAGAGCTGGCACAGCCCTGCCCAACCCCTTCCCAAGGACCCCACAGGTCCAGGCTTCCTCTGGCAGCATCACCCTCCACCCCACTGCAGCCCCCACCCTGTGCCTTCCCCACCTCATGGCGCTCGCCCTTGTTCTCGGTCAGCAGGATGATGGCATCTGCCAGCGTGGTGGGCTGCGCCTCCACCTGCTCCACCATCACCAGGCGGGAGCTGTAGATGGCCAGGATGTAGCTGGAGTAATCAGTGGCTGCTCGGCTGCTGGTGGGACTGGAAGCTGCAGAGACACCCGGAGGAAGGGGGATCAGGGAACTGTCACCAAGCCCACAATCCCCGGGAGCACGGTGGTGCCGGGTTGATGCACGTGCAGCATGCAACAGGCAACCTCCACCCTCAAGGAGATCTCCATGATGAGGACCAAGGGCTTTGGCACCTCTCCCTCCCCCAGGGCCCCTCCATCCCCTCACCCTGGGCAGCAGGGCCGGCCAGGGCAGCGCTCCAGTGGTTGAAGGCACAGCACACGACGGCGTATTCGCCCGGCTCCAGCATCACGTCGCAGTTGACGAACTTTTTGACGGCTCGTTTGCTGTGGGCCATCAGCCGGCCCAGGCTCAGCTTGTTCCCACTGGTGAAGGTGGCCCGGAAAACCATGATGCACAGGTCCAGCAAGTGGCTGTCCACCGTGTCTGACCTCCTGTGTCAGGCAGAAGGGTCACATATCACCCAGGACACAGGCAGCAGATCCAGGGAAGAGCTTCCCACTGCCCCAAATATCCAGCCCCAGGAACCAGCCCTGCATTCAGGAGTTGGGTTCCAGCTAAACATGAGCAGTTCCCAAGATTTGGAGAGATGGTGATGGGGGCTCGTCCCTGAGTTCTGTGACCCCAAGGAATGCCATGTGGTGAGATATCAAAGTGTTCAGATTTCTTCTGGGCCCACAGAATTGTGGAATCATTAATGCTGGGAAAGTCCTCTAAGATCATCAAGTCCAACCATTAATCGAGCACTGCCAAGGTCACCACCAACCCATGTCCCCAAGTGCCACATCCATAAAGTTTTTAAATCCTTCCAGGGATGAGGACTCCATCACTGCCCTGGGCAGCTGTGCCAGGGCCTGACCACCCTTTTAGTGAAGAAATTTTCCCCAATATCCCATCTAAACCTCCCCTGGTGCAACTTGAGGCCGTTTACCCTTGTCCTGTCTCAAAGCAAAGCCTGACTCCCCCCAGCTGTCCCCTCCTGTCAGGGAGTTGTGCAGAGCCAGAAGGTCCCCCCTGAGCCTCCTTTTCTCCAGGCTGAGCCCCCCCAGCAGTTTCACTGCCCTGGCCAGCTCACCTGCTGCCCTCCTGGAAAAGGGCAAACTCCAGAGCTGCGCGCTCCAACACCGTCAGCGACGTCACCGTCACCGGCCCGTTGGCCTTGTTGGGGAACATTCCCTGCACACGCACCTCGTGCCAGTCCGAATGGAGCTTGCAGATATCCACGGAGTCAAAATACCTGCGGGGAAGCCGGGCTCAGTCCCAGTGGGGCACACTGCATGCTGCAGGACACCCACGTTCCCTAGGGATGACCGCCTGCCCCGTTGTGACCCTGTGGTCCGTTTTCCATCCCTGTTCCCCGCCCCACGCTCTGCCTCTGGCAGTGCCATACTTGATGAAGTCGCTGTACTCCATCCAGAAGACGCCCTCGCTGCTGCCATGGGGCATCAGGTCGTGGCGCAGGGGGAGCGGCCAGTGCGGCCACTCGTCTGACCAGCTGCCGTTCCAGGAGAAGCGGCCCCAGGGATTCCGGAGACGCAGCAACCTGGGGAAGGGGAGAAGTGTCAAAGACCCAGGAGGGAGGGGAGACCCCCAGCCTGCCCCCCAGCAAAGGACACCACATCACTCCTGCCTTCCAAAGCCCTCACAGCATCCCAGAACTTATGTGTCAGCCACATCGTGGCCCCAGAAGTCTCTGTCCTGTGGCTCTGGACCTGCTGCTGCTCCCTCTGCCCTTCCCTGCCCAAAGGGGCTCAGCCAGGTGCTGTGGGGAAGGGGCTCAGCAGGGGAGAGGCTGCTGAGAGTGACATGGCTGAAATACAGCTTTCTACAGCAGCCTAGCTGTCAGGGTGGCATCCATTTCTACCCCCCTGCATTCAGACGTGAGCAATATGCTCTGAGCACCTCACTGAAGTTAGAGCTCAACTCAGACCTCTGTGTCTTGTGAGACCAGGTAAAACATTCCACCCCTGGCCATGGAGCCAGCACCAGGCAAGGACAGCTCATATGACAACGACATTTATGTGACACCCTAGGATGGCATCATCCTTGCTGGCCATGAGGATGGGGACACCAAAGAGTCCCTAGGGTCCTGCTCACCATGCCCTCAGTTACCTGCCCCCAGAGTTCCTGCTGGGTGTGCTGTCAGGAGCAGCTGCAGTGCCATGGCAGGCTCCAGCCCGAGCTCACCTGAAGCCCTGGACATCCCGCACGTCCAGGATGGAGTAGGCGTGCCGGGGTCGGAGCCCCATGCTCTCGTAGGCCACATCATCCACCTTCATGTTGCCTCCGCCGCAGGATGCACCCATGAGAAACCTGCACGGGGACAACAAACCCTCGGGGTCCTGCCAGGCCTGGCGTGGGGGGAAGCTCATCCCTATCACTCCAAGCATGGGAGAGCTTCCTCCCAGGAGGCTCATGGATGCTCCCTCTGCTACAACAATGCTGGGATCAACGGCACTCCCCAGACAGTGCCCAGCCGTGCTGGCCACAGCTCCCTCCCATTGCCCACGTGCATGCTGAGCCCAGGCTCCAAGGAGAGTTGATCTGCAGTGGGGAACTTTGCCCCAAACCTCCCCTGATTTCTGCCAGGCCCCAGGATCCTGCCCACTTCTGCTGGCTGGCAGAAAGCCATGGGGAAAGACAGGTGGTCCAGCAGCTGGACAAGTTGGCAGGGGTGAGGACACTATTTGGGGCAGGAAGTCTGCACCAGTCAGGCTTAGGAGAACACCATGTGCTGGGAGTTATCCATCTGTGTGGCCCCACACCCCAGCCTTCAGCCAGCCCAGCTGCCCTCCTGCCCTAGTGATGAGCAGGAGGTCTCTGCTTTGGCTGTGCCCCCCCAGACCAGCACCAGCCAGGTGTCATTAGCAAAGATGTCACATACGGGTGGGAGACACGCGCAGGGTCAAGCATTCACACAACAGAAAAGCTCAAAGCAAAGCCAGCGGGCTCAGTGCCGCTTCCCGACTCCTGCAAGACAGCAGTGACGTGCAGGGGAAGTTCACCAGGCTCTTGATTTCATATGAGAATTACTCACAGGAGAAATGATTTCTTAGAGCTTTGAGTGGGACTCCACCAATGCTTCAGTTGAGTGGCAAGGGTGGTGTACTCCACCCCAGCTAATGCAGTAATCCCTCTCCTGAGCCTCTAAAGACACAACTGCTCCCCCTCACCCCCCTCTCCAGAGTCCCTGCTCCTGCCTCGTCTTACCCAGCCTCCTTAGAACTCAGCATTTTGGCCCAGATGAGGTCAGTGTCAATGGGCTCCTCGCGAGGGTTAGTGGAGCTGACCTGCAGCATCAGGCTCTCGCAGGGGGCCCCTGTGAGCGTGGCCAGGCCTTCGATGGCACGCCCAGCCTGGAGGGCGAAGTACGAACCGTGCAGCTTGGCCAGCGCCTTCTCAATGAGGGCCACCCACAACTGCTTCCTCTGGGCCTGCAGAGAGAGGGAGGGACACATCTTCACCCTGGGCAGAAAGTGGGAAAGCCCCTCACACCCATCCCTGCCAGCTGTCCTGGGGCTGGGGAAGCAGGAGCAGCAAGGCCATGCCAGGAGCTTGTCCCCTTGGCCATGGGTGACCAATTCGCTCTTTGCTCAGTGTTTGCAGAGCTCAATTCCCCTTGGGAAGTAGTCCTGGAATGAACACCCAAGAGGCCTGCATGTACCCTGGGGTGTCCAGCAGTCAGGCTGGCAGGGTGGGAGCTCCTTCCATCCACTTCAACCTGAACTTAGAACTGTTTAATAATGGAAGAGGATTCCAAGGATGCCAGAGCTCAAGGAGCATTTGGACAATGCTCTCAAGCACAAGGTGGGATTGTTGGGGCATCCTGTGCAGATCCAGGAGTTGGACTTATGACCCTTGTGGGTCCTTTCCCACCCATTCTAGGATTCTGTGATGTGGAGCACATCTGGAACAGCTGCCTTTAACTCACACACCTCTGCAAACCCAAACCAACACCCCTGTGGCAGAGGAGGTTGCTCAGAGTGCACATGGCCATGGGACTGATTGGATTCCACCCAGGGAACACAGACACTGCTTCAAGGACAAGCTCCAAAAACTTGCACTGGCAAAGTCCTCTACTCCAGCACATGGAGTAACTACAAGGCCTAATTACAAGATGCAAGTTTTTTCCCAGCAAATAGGGTTTGGTATCCGGTGCTTAGAGAGCAGCAGGGAAAATCACTGGTACATTGTGCCTGTGTGACTCACAGGTGGCAGCCAAGAGCTGGCAGAGGAAAGGAGGGCAGTGAAGATTTCTTTATGATGGATAAAGAGAGCTTAAAAGTGCTTTTTGCTGGTTTTTGGGTCCCTCGCTCAACAAAATCCATGTTGTTTATTTCTGCCTGAACCACAGCCAGAGAGCTCAGATAAGAGCCTGTTTTTCCTTTATTTTTAAAACTCTGATTTTCCTTTTTTATCCCCCACATCCAGCTCCCACAGCTGAACATTCAGCAGAACAATCTCATCACAATTCAGATGCGCCTGGAAACAGAGGCAAGGCAAGCCCAGCCCATGTGAAAACCTCCAATATTAAAAAAAACTCCAAAAGCAGACTTGAAATTCATGGAAGATTGAAGGAAAAGGTAAAAACCAAGATAGGTTTTCTTATGCTGAAATAAAGAAATGCATCTGTATCCTCTGTCTACTGAGAGGTACAATGTAGACACAAACTTTTTGTTCCCTTCTCTGAAGTTTAAGTCCTGTCCTGACATGGCTGTGTGTCAAAACCTAGAGGACTGGTTTTGCAGAACAAAATTCAGGCCAGCAGTCCCAGTCCCTGTCTCCTCCTGATGGTGGTACTTTGTTTTCTTCAGCAGATTTTGCCCCCTGAGTTTCAATAGAGACGTTCTCAGTCTCCTTCATGGACGTGATCCCAGCAAGAGCCCCTGGGCCTGGCAGGCAGGGCAAGGCAGGGCAGAGCGATGTCCTGGAGGGGCTGAGGGAGCTCCATTGATCCGAGCAGATGCCACCCTAGCGTGCTCAGAGCAACTGGGCACTGGCTCGGAACAGGCTGCTCCATGTTCCCCTCCCTCTTCATAGTCCCTCCCTGGCACAGCCAAGATGCCAGACCTCCCCTCAGAGGAAAGAAACAGCTTTCCCTCAATCCTTCACGGTGCAAAACACAGGTTATAATGTTTTCCTTTTATATGAAGAGTAAGGGGTGTTTTCCCTGCCAGTGGCTGTGGTGCAAGGAGGGGTGAGAGAAAAGAAACTGGAAATGAAACTCCTTCACTGCAGCCTGGGGAAAGCCAAAAGGGGTCTAAACAGATGGATATTATGGCCTGAAAGAGTTTAGCTGTTTTGAGGACACAGCAAAGAGCAGTGTCCTGAGCTGCAAACAGGGTGCAACCAGTGCTGGATCTTCCATTTGTGTCACAGCATCCCCTGGAAGCTCCAGACTTGGGGCAGCTGGGAAGTACCTGCTGGGAAAGGACCTGGGAGTTCTGCTTGGCAGCAGCTGAACATGGGTCAGATGTGCCCAGGTGGGCAAGAAGGTCAATGGCACCTGGCACTACACTGAGGGGCTGGAGCGTGTCCAGGGAAGGGAACAGAGCTGGGAAGGGGCTGGAGCAGCAGCAGCAGCTGAGGGAGCTGGGAAAGGGGCTCAGCCTGGAGAAAAGGAGGCTCAGGGGGCCCTTCTGGCTCTGCACAACTCCCTGACAGGAGGGGACAGCCGGGGGAAGTCGGGCTCTGATCCCAGGGAACAGGGACAGGACAAGGGGAAACAGCCTCAAGTTGCACCAAGGGAGGTCTAGATTGGATATTGGGAATATTCCTTAATGAAGGTGGTCAGGCATTGCAATGGGCTGTCCAGGGCAGTGGTGGAGTCACTATGCCTGGAAGTGTTCAGAAACAATGTGGTGCTTTGTGGCATGGTTTAGTGGGCAGAGGGTATTTGATCAGTGGTTGGATTTGATGATCTTTGGGGCCTCAGTGACTTCATGACTCTAAATGCAGCATAAAGTAGGGGCCTCACATGAACCCCAGCAGTGCCTCTTCCCACTGCCCCTCCTGGGAGAGCCTGGGATGAGCCTCCCTGACCCCTGGAGCACTGCCCACCCCTGTCCCCCGCGGCACCGACCTGGGAGAAGAGCAGGTACCCGCACTCGTCGCAGGGCAGCATGTCATCCACCAGCACCGTGGTCCACGTGCCGTCCTTGCACAGCCGCACCTGGTAGGCACCCTCGGGGCACAGTGTCCTGGTGATCATCACCCTCTCCACCAGCTCGGGCCGCTCGGCCAGCACGGCCAGGGCGCTCAGGAACCTGCCGGGCAGGCGGGGCGGCCTCAGCGGGGCACGGGCGGGCAGCACGAGCTGCCCGGCCACGCAGCGCTGGCAGGGGGTGAGGCAGAGCATGGGCTACAGCCTGGGGGCATAAATGGGATTGAGTAGGGCTGAGGGGGCCGAGCTGGAGCTGGAGGAAGAGGAGGGGAAGGAGGGGAGGGGCGGGAAGGTGTCAGCCCGGCTCACTCGCCCTTACCAGCAGTTCCCCAGCAGTCCCTGCAGGATGTCCGAGGGCCGGGGGGTGCGGAACACTGACCACTTCACTGAGCGCTCCTTGAAGATGCTGCAGTTGATCTCGTGGGGCCGCAGCCACTGCTTGACCCGCTGCTGCACACTGTCACCTTCCGGGAACCCCACGGACCTGGGCCCAGGGGGGAAACTGTCGTCTACAAAATTGACTTTGTTCTGTGAGAGCAAAAGACAAGGACAGCATCAGTTGGAGTCACTTGGAACTGGGGGGGCCTGGAGAGCCTCCCACTGCCCCCCTGAGAGACAGCAGAGCCCCCAACCCTCCTGACTGGCCCAGGCAGTGCTGCAAGGGGGCAGGACTAGGCTGGCGTCTGCTGGCAGCAGCAGAGATCCTTTATGTGCTTCAGGTCCAGCACTCAGCCCTGCCTCAGGCTCACCTCTCCGGCCCCGAGCTCCGGGCTGTGACTCCAATCTGCCTTTTTCTGTTTCACATGAGCCTCCCCGGGCAGGGACCGTCTCACACTTTGTGCCGGTGCTAAAAGCTGGGCTGCGGGGCGCCTTGGCTGCCTCCAGAAGCAGCAAAACCTGCAAGGCTGCGAGGAGGAGCCACCTGGCACACAAACACACCTCAACCCGAGCCTTGTCCCTGCTCCGGAAGGGACACGCTGGGCTTGGCAGCCCTGTGCCACCCCCCAGGCACATCCATGGGGATGGGAGGGGCGGCTTTTGCAATTGCATTCAGCCAGACCACAACCAGGCAAGCAATTCCAGAGTGAGTGTATCCCATGTCCCAGCTCTCCTGCAATAGCTGCTGTGTAATAAATAAACAGGATGAGTGGAAGGGCAGGTAATCCCACAGGCATTAACCACATGGATGGAAGCACAGAACTTCACCAAGTGGAGAAGGGTGGCTTTTTCAGTCTAACACAGGGTGAAATGAGAACAGGTGGTTCTTTGTTATTGTCAATTAAATGAAATTAAATTAAATTCTTTCAGCAAAAGCTGCCTCTGATTTAAATTAGCTTTATGCACGCTGCACTAGTAGTTGACCTCCACTTTTGTGGCAATCCTACCTGAATGCTTTCTTTGTGGTGCCTCAATTAGCACCTCCAGTTCCTCTTTTGCAGGAGGATGTTTCTCAACTAACAGCTGTTCTGCTCTCTCAGGGGAGCATCTGCCCCTTGCAGCTGAGGAGCAGCCACCATTCCAGCAGCCTCACATCCTGGCTGGGGACCTGGATGGGGCCCATCCCTGCACATGGATCTCTGGGCTCTGCAGGAACTTGATGTGCAGGGCCATGAGGACATGAGGGAAGGGATTCTCTCCCTCTGCTCTGCCCTTGTGAGACCCCAGTTTTGCCCATCTCTGGAGGACTCAGCACAAGAAAGATAGGGATCTGTTAGAACAGGTCCAGAGGAGGCCACTGAGATGCTCCGTGGGCAGGATCCCCTCCAGGTATCTGGGAGAGCTGGAGGTGTTCACCTGGAGAAGGCTTCATGGAGATGTTAGAGCCCTTTGCAGTGCCTAAAGGGGGCTGATTAATAAGAGGGAAAGCATTTTTTCACATGGACATGCAGTGATGGGACAAGGAGAAAGTTTTAAACTAAAAAGGGAAAAATTTAGGTTGGATACTGGGGAAAAACTCTTCAATGTGAGGGTGGGAAGGCTCTGGCACAGGGTGCCCAGGGAAGCTGTGGCTGCCCCATCTGTGGAAGCGTTCAAGGCCAGGCTGGACAGGACTTGGAGTAACCTGGTCTGGTGGAAGGTGAGGTGGGTTGGCAGGGCTGGAGTGAGATGAGGTTTAAGGTCCCCTCCAAACCAAACCATTCTGACTCCATGATTCCAGTGGGACAGGTCAGCTCTGCACTGCTCCCCAGCAGAAGAGAAAGGGTAAAGCTAAAACAGGGACCACACACTGAGAAGAGTTGGAAAAGGCATCGCTGGAATAGCAGAGGAAGGAAAACCCACAGCAGGAGCTCAAGCAGAAATCCTGGCAGGGAGCAGCAAGATGGGCTGCTCCACATGACGTGGGGCAGGGGGACAACAGACGGAGGAGAACTTGGCCAGCCTGACTCCTCCAGGGGAAGGCTGAACAGCCCGGGAAGCGGAGCAGGGAGCTCGGAGGCGGCCTCGCGCCAGGGACGGGAGCAGCATCGCCCCTGCACTGCTGCCAGGCCTGACCTCGCACCTGAACATGTCAGAGCACAGCTGAGCTTGGGGTGGAGGGGGATTTTTGGGAGAAGGCCCACGCAGATCTAACAGCCCATTACTGGGGGGTTCAGGAGCACAACAGGCTCAGCCAAGGCTCTGACCGAGCACTGCGGGACGGGGCAAGGCAGGCTCCCCTTCCTGGCAGTGCCACGCTGCTAATTCAGCCTGGCCATCATCATGATTCATCCTTCAGGCCTGATTCCTGATGTAACAGATGTTCCCTGCCTACAAAAGAGGCTATTCACTTGCTTTAAAGACGGGGATAAGTACAATCCGGGTCTCTGCTATAAAGACACCCACGCCTGTTAGGAAGGACATACAGCAATTTAAAAAAACCACAAGCCCAAACAAGAACATTCTCAGAGCCTCCCCTCCAAGCCAAATATCTCTGTTCCCTGGACTGTGCAGTGGAGGCACAGGAATGGACACAATCCTCAGACCAGGCAGGAAAAGCCTTGTCTGTACGTCAAAATGGGACTGCAACTCCCTTTCCATCTGGTCCAGAAGAGCTGGAGGCTTCCCCCAGAAGGAGGCCAGAGAAAGCAACATTCACAGAGCTTTTAATGCCATACAGCGAAAAAAAAATGACGCCATGAGAGTGGTGTTTGAGGCTAAAACCCAATTGACTAGACCAGACACCTCACAGAAGGAAGGTGGGTGCTGGCACGTACTCCTGAGACCTTCAGCTAGAGCCAGGTTACAGCTACAGCTCAGCTGGCCTGCCCAGAATGGGGGGAGCCATTTGTGCTGCACCTCTGCATTTATGATACACAAACCAAGAATGCCAAGGCCCAGCCCATGTTCTGAAACAGCTGCAGCTGCTGGCAGTGGCAGCAGTTCCTCTGCCTGCACTCTCATCCAGAGCCTCTGCTTGTTGTGCCCCAGATTTCCTGCACCCACAGACAGCAGTGCCACCAGCAAACCTGGACACACTCCCTGCCTTTCCCCACCGCTAGACACTGGCAGGAGATGGACTGACCACCTAAGGATGTCTCCTTCCTCACAGAAGTTCTCTCTCCCTGATTTAAAGCACCACTGAGTTTCAGAGTTAACAGGTTTGGCACTAGGTTTTAGAGTCCCTCACCCTTGCACCAGGTGTGGGCTGTGTGGGCTGTCTTCACCCCAGAGATCATTCTGCACCAAAATACGACATTTCAGTGCTAACAACCAGCATTCAGCTGTTGCCAGGGAAGATCCCTGGAACCCCAGGCATGGAAGGTGCTGCCCCAGAGCTATAGGGGAGGCAGAAAGGGAAGCCAGGAACAAGCAAGAACTCACCTCCCGGCAGAAGGTCACGATGTTTTCCCACAGGGCTTTGGCCTCGCCCTCATCTGTTTGCCTCCTCTTCTCCACGTGCATGCTCTCCCTCCTCTTGAGGGGCTTGAGGCCCTTGTGCTGGGCCACGTACTGCTGGGGGGTGTGGCAGGCGCCGCAGTGCTTGGCCTTCACCTCGTTCAGCAGGGTGCAGGCGGGACAGGCCCACTGGCCCGGCCTGTCCTGCCCTCCGGGCAGCGGGGCGGGGAAGAGCCGGGCGACCTTGCGGGCGGACGGGGCCTTGGTGCCGCAGGAGCAGCCGGCCCTGTCGCAGGCGCCGCAGTCGGGGCAGCGCGGGGCCGGCTCGCCCGGAGCCCCGTGCTCCTGGAAGCCGTGCAGCTTGGAGGAGCCGCACACCTTGCACTTCTGGGCCTGCGTGGGGTTCTTGAGGGTGCACTTGGAACAGGACCAGGTGGTGAAGTCAGGGCTGGAGGGGCTGCACGGGGTGAACCTCACCGAGTCCCCCACCAGGTTGATGGTGTCGCTGCCTTTCTGGGTGCTGCAAACCTCGCACTTGCTGGCCCCAGCGGAGTTGAGCAGGGAGCAGGAGCTGCACTTCCAGTGGGACGGACTGACCTCCATCTCCTCCTCCAGCACGCTCAGCCGTTTGTTGGACAGCAGCTCCGGGAAGCGTGTGGTGGGGGCAGCCCTGGCCTGACCTTGGGGAGAGCCCTTCTGCCCCACGGCACCCGTAGGCGCGGGCTGGGAGCCTTCAGGGACCGGCATCTGCAGCTGTGGGGGCACCTCCCGCCGGCTTCGGGGCACAGGGTTGTTCTGGAGCCCCGGGGAGAAGGGGCTGAAGGCTGCTACCTTCTGGGCCTCTTGTTCCATAGCCACTGGGCCCTGGGCGGCCACGGCGTCACCATCAGAGATCTCTGTGGAGATTAAAGGCTGCGGGGTGGAGGGGGCCATGTGGAATCCGGCCGGGGTGATGACTTCAGGGACGACCAGCGCCTCTGGTGGGATCTTGGGCAGGGAGAGCTTGCGTGGGCCACCACAGGCGGAGCAGGAGTTGGCCACGGGCGTGTTGTGCAGGGTGCAGCGCTGGCAAGCCCAGCCGCTCTCCAGCTCTGCTTCATCAGGGCTCTTCCCCTCTGAGTCCTCGCTGCTGCTTTCTGCCTTGGCAGCCTCCTCCTTGCATGTGCCCTTGGGCTCCACCAGCACGGCAGGCTTGGGCAAGATGCCGTTGATGACGGGCAAGGGGGAGCCACCGGGTCCCGGCTCTGGGGTGAAGCCACACACCTCACAGGTTTCCTTGCCCAGAAAGTTCCTGAAGGTGCAGCGGGCACAGGCCCATTTCTGTTCCTCCACGCTGAGCCGCAGGATGTGGTTGAGGTCGGGTTTCTGGCGGGGAGCCTCGCAGATGGAGCACTGCCGCTGGCCCACGGGGTTCAGGAAGGTGCAGCGCGTGCAGGACCACTCACGGACAGCAGCCATGGAGCCGGGAGAGTGGGAGTGGCTGCAAGAAAGGAGACACAGCGTGAGGCTGAGGCCAGGGCCAACCAATATGCACTGGTACCACGTGTTTCCTGGGCTGACATGGTCAGGACCTTGCTTCCAGGAAGGGAACGACCTTCAGTTCAGTCATTGCTCTACAGGCACTTGCTCCTCTGGCACTGATAAATTCTCCAAGTGTACGGCAATGCATTGGCTTCCATCCAAAATGTTTCAGGAAGGGCAAAAGACACAGCCCTGCACCCACTGACCCCATTCTCACAGTGGAGGTTGTGCCCTGGTGAGCAAACACACAATCTCCGTGCCCAACCCTGGCAACTCTGTGAGTCTGCAGGTCATTTGGAACTCTTTGGAGGAGGTGACACCCTGCTCTGCCTTCTTGCTGCTCCAGCATCAATGCGTTCCTCCTTCTTTACTTCACCCACCTCCATCTCACTTTCTGTTCCTGTCTCCCTCCTCTCCTTCAAGCTCCACACCACTTATCCACACTGGGATAACTGTGTCATCCCATACCAGACACCACCAAGCCAAGGAAGGCAGGCTTTGGTGTGCAGAGGTGCTTTTACCTAGCTGTAGGTTTTGGGGCCAGAAGCCTGGCCCACTGGGAGCAGAAGCTCCATGAGGCACCAGCGCCAGGACAGCTCACCAGCATCTTCCAAAGCTCAGCAAAGAGGGGCACCATGTCCCAGCCCCAGCTGCTTCCCCACTCATCTGTGAAGTAGAGAGGACATAATGCCCTTCTGGCTGCACCAGCCCCTGGTGTCAACCTCCAATGTTGCCTGGGAATGCCTGAAACCCTGATGGGAGAATGGATCCAACACACAACAGAACCATCTCATCCCAGAGTGGGAAGTCACAATTACATTCTCTACACAGGTTCAATTTTCAGAAAGTGCAGCAGCAGCACCAGGTCCATGGACCATGATGATCCCTGGGTTGCAGAGAGCAGTCTTCCCCCAGTGCAGCCCTCCCAGTGCTTTCAGGATGCCATGTGTGCAGTCACACTGAGAACAAGCCCCAGTCCTGCATGGTGCCCTTTGTCCCCTGCTCGGGGTCATTTCCTACAGCTTGGAGCAAAGGTGGGGCTAAAGCAGTTTTCTGCTTCCTCCTCCTTCACACAAGGGCAAACCAGCTCTCCCCCAGTTAAACATGCTCCAGGAGCCCAGAGCCCTCCCTCCACACACTCCTGCTCCCAGATAAGACGGCCCAGTCCTAAATCCAATGTTGAACCCCAGCTCCAGGTCAGCTGTGCCTCTCACCAGCAGAGCAGGTCCCTTCCAAGCCCTTCCACCCTGTTCTGCTTTCCTGAGACCACAGACAGGGTCAACTGTGCAGAAGCCTCCAAGTCCATCCCATGCCCTCAGCCCTTCCCAGGAACAGCAAAGTCAGACCTCCAGAGACCTAGAGCAGCCTAATTCATGGGAGCTGCCCCTCAGTGGGCTCACCACTGGCTCCCTCTCCAGTGTCCCTTCAACTACCAAGTTCAACCATCACACTGCCTAGAACAAAGGGGAGGAGGGTGTTTAATCCCATAAAGGGCAGGCACAGACAGCTCCAAGATGCCAGTGCAGCCCATGGAAGGAACCGGGTCCTGGCTGGTCTCCAGAATCCCAAGCAGCAGCACCTGCACACGCAGCTTCTCAAAGCTCTGAGCAGACTGCAATGCAGCAGCAAGGTCTGGAGGGGCAGAGGATGCAGCCAGAACCCCCCTGGGGAGGAGGGAAGTGACCCTCCCTTTGGCTGGTACATGAGAAATTCTCCTGGGAACACTCCAGCAGCAGCAGCAATCCGACCACATTTCCACACCATGCTCCACAGCCACTGGAAGAGCAGCTCCACCTCACAGAGATCAGATATAACCTTCAACACCTTTCTTAAATCAAACGTTTCTCTAAATAAAGCCTGAAATCAAGAAATCCATTTTATTGCAAGAGAGAGCTTGAAAATTCATTCTGGTTCATACAAGGTGCCTGCATCATTTGAACTCTGCAAGGTGTTTATTTACTGGAGTTATTCCCAGCTAAGAAAAATATAAACATTGATTTTTCTGCCTCAAGTCCTACAGCTGGGAGCCACTGTACATTCCTCTCCCCTGTGGCAGCACCATGTCCACAACATCTGAAAGGGAGATCATTCCTCAAGCAGAGGAAGGAGCTGCTGCCCGGCTCTGGCAGCAAATGGGGCCATGAAGGGCACTGTGATCCTGTCACATCCATTTGTCTTACTGGGTGAGCTTCATCAAACCACAGGCATCAGCAAAAGGCAAGGGAAGGCTGTCAGCAACCTGTGCCATCCACCTCCATCCTCCTGCAGCATTCCATGCTGTTACCCAGTGTACACAGTGCAGGAGAGCACTGGCTCCAAAAAATCCACCCTGAAATGCAGCTGCCACAATGTTTTCTGTGGACTGGGACACACAGCCACCAATCTTCCTCCTGCACATACACCCATGGTCCTACCCAGCAGGTAAAGGCTTCTAGCAATGCCACCACAGAACTGGGGAAGGAATCACCCTGTCCCTTCCCATAGAGAGGACAAAACCCAGGATAACCCAAAAGACAGAAGTACCACATGAGGGGATGAGCCACGTCACCAGACCTGCTTGATGTGGCATCAGCAACAAGCTGCAGGCTCATGGAAGGCAGCACCATTTCACTTGGCTGGGTGGGAGATCCAGGCTCCAGGCAGCTGGAAGGGAGATGGAAGCCAGGACACTGAAGTGTCCTGGAATGGCCCTGGGGAGCTGTGACATTTTCTGGTCACACTGTGCTTCTCCTGGTCCCATCTTCTCAGCCCATGCAACAGGAGTTGGCCCCTAACACTGTCCAACTGCTGCTGGCATTTTCACCTACTTGACCTTCTCAGGAAAACCAAACAGCCTTCCAGAAGGGCCATCAGCTCTTCTCTCAAAGGTCCTGCAGTGCCTGGGCCACCAGTGTGACAAGCTTTGGCAGGAGACTTCCCTGCCTTCTGTTGCACATCATGGTGCCCTGAACATGATTTTCCTTAAAAGTGAGTGGGAGACACACGGCACAGCACAGGACATGGGACACGAACCTTCAGCTGTGCCCCACAGTTCTGGGTTCCCAGCCACCAATCCCCCAGCCCTGGTGACTGACAGGACACCAGCCTGCAGCCTGCTTTCTTCACACCCTTGCCTAGGACTGATGGACAATCCCAGTCCCTGCCTGGAATGGAATCAAATTTAGGGTCCAAAGATCCCAGAGGGCTCGGGCTGGAAGCTGCCTCTACACAGTCCAACCCATACCAGAACACGGAGGGTTGCTGCAGCAGCCTCTGCCCCTCAGCAACAACTTCCTCCCAAAACTGAACTAGCCAAAAGAGAAATCCATCCTCAGCCTGTCCAAGCTCCACACTTCTCCTTAAACAGCCTGGCTGGCTCCTTTCCCAACAGGCAACAAGGCTGTGTGAGGAAATAGGGTTATCTCCAGCACCTATTCACCAAGCCCATCTGCTGCGTGTTAACACAGTCACTCTCCAGCCCCAGCAAACACAACTGACATAAACACTGCCTGCCACCTTCCTGCAGGAGAGGAGCTCCTCTGAAACCAGGGACCTGGCAGCACCCACCCACGGGAGGGCTTTCCTGGGGGACACTTCCCAAGGAGATGGTGACGCGGGGCTCCGCTCCGCAGCCTGGCAGCAGGGAGCTGCTGGAGGCTCTTTTGGGGTGCACACAAAAAGGGCAGCTTAGGGTGTAAGGAAAGGGTGACAGGCTACAACCCCACACCTCCAACAGCACGGATGGAGCTTCCCACCACAGCAGCTTTCCGCAACCAAGGCAGGAGACATCAGCTGGCAGGAGGCACGGCTGTGTTGGCAGGAGTGCCCCTACCTTGGCAATCGCAACAGTGTAATTATCATGCTTAAAAAGTAATATAGAAAGTACTCAACCAAGCAGGCAGCTTTCAGCGCACTGATCAGGTCCCAGGGAACCTCACTGCTCCAGGGATTAAGAAGGTTCCAGGTGGTCTCCTTCCAAAACCACTTCAGGACAGCGATATCCCTGTCCTGGGCTCTGCTGAGTGATGAGTTTGCTGAGCCCAGCGTGTTCCTGCTGCAGAGCCCTGGCCCCTACACAGCCACCAAACTGTCCAGGGATGGCCACCACCTCTGGGCACCATCTGGGACCCAAGACTTCTCTGAAGCAAGGCAAAACAGGAAGGAACAAGGCAGGGTAAGAAATCGGGAAGTGCCCAAAAACCTGCAGTTTGCATCTTTCCTGCTGGCAGGGAGCTGGTGAAATGCCAGGGCTGAGATGTGCAGCTGAGCTCCAGGGCAGGAGATGGCACCCAGCCCTGGGCAGAAGCACCCTGGGCTGCCAGAGAACAGCTTGAGGTGACCTGGGCACCAGAGTGAGAGATCCCAGGGCTCTGCTGCAGAGCCCACACTGGCAACAGGATTAGAGGAGCTTGTGTCAATCACACACAGCAACACAATCAGGCTGTTTCTCTAAAAAAAGCTCCTCCAGAGCAGCTAAAGTCTTAAAACTTACAGCTTCGTTTCTCTCCTGCAGTAAATAAACAAATAAATAAAAATCAATTGTTCTAGTCAGCAACATAAACCCTGAGCTCCCTGACACATAATGCATCCCAGCAAAATCCTCACTGACAAATACAAGAAAAAACACTAGACTTTTGTGGAAGAAAAATGACCAAAAAACCCTAAACAAATCCTGCCTTAATGTCTGTGAGCTGTGAATCCCTTCCCTCAGCCCCATGCTTTCTAGTTAATATTTCCCATTTAATTTTCTTTCAGTAGCACTGCAGACCCTGACCTAAGAGAGGACATCTGAGCCTTCTCCCACACGGACCTACCACATCTCCAGAGCCAGCAGGAGCAGAAGGCACCTGTGCCCACCAGGAAGGGGTGCAGGAGGTCAGGAACCACTCAGAATCCCTCTGGCAGTGCACTGTTAGGAGCACACGTGGGTTGGGATCATGAAGCCCCGGAGAGGAGATGCTGTTGGCTGAGCTGACTCAC